CTCATTTTCAGATTGGGTCTTTAAATTTAGGAGGTCTGCTCTTTTTAAGTTCTTTATAGATTCGAGATAGTAGGCCTTTGTCTACGAACAGCAGGTGAAGATTTTTTCCCATATTGTGGGTTGTCTCTCCACACTTGTTGGTGATTTCTCTTGCTGTGCAGAAGCTTTTTAATAAGAAGAGACCCCACTTGTTGATTGTTCTTGCTAGTTCACAGGCAAAACTGAGGCTTTGTTCATAAAATCTTTTCCTACACCAATGTCTTCAAGAGTTCTACCTAACTTCTGTTGCAGCTGGTTTAATATTTAGATCTTTAATCCATTATGATTTTAGTTTAGTGCATGGTGAGAGATATAGGTCTAGTTTTAATTTTTGGCAAGTTGAAACCCAATTTTTCCAGCACCATTTATTAAAGAGGCTATCTTTCCTCCAGAAGGTGTTCGGCTCCTTTATCAAAGATGAGATGGCTGAGGGCGTCTGACATTGTTTCTGCATCTTCTAATCTGTTCCACTAGTCCTCAGGTCTGTTTCTTTGCCAGTACCATGCTGTTTTTATCATGTCTTTGTAGCATAGTTTCAAGTTGGGGGATTGTGATACCCTCTGCCATGTCTCTGTTACCTAGAATTGCTTTAGCTATTCTGAGTCTCTTCTTGTTCCAAATGAATTTTTAAATTGTTTTCTCAAGGTCCCTGAAGTATGGTGCTGTAATTTCAATTGGGATTGCATTGAATCTACATAGCAGTTTTGGAAGTATGGCCATTTTCACTATATTGATCCTTCCTACCCAGGAGCAAGGGATGTCTGTCCATTTTCTGATATCATCTTCAGTCTCTCTTTTCAGAGTGCTATCATTTTCAGAGAAGAGGTCTTTGATTTCTTTCATTATGTTGATTTCTAGGTATTCAGTTTTTTGGATGCTAACCACAATTGTATCTTTATTTGGGGATAAGAGTGAAAACACCTTCACCTGTAAAATGGACAGATATACATACTGGGTAGAAATATAGACCTGTTTTGTTAACATATAGGAACTCAAATGTTTGTGGAAGAATGCATGTGGCAGCAGAGTAACCAAAGGGGTGGACTGTAACAATTATCAATTTATTGTCTCCTGGTTCTAAATTTATCCTTCCCTGCCTCTACAAAAATGGATATGGGCCCTTTTAATATTTTTTCTTTGCCAGCTGGTTGAATGTCAAGCATGCTGTGCAGAGAGTACTATAAAGACACAGCAAAAGGAAGTGTATTCCAGCTTGGTTCCAGTATACTTGTTCAGTAGATGCTCCTAAAGTGTAGGTAGAAGGTAATGACTTCTCTAGTACCTGCTCCCAGAACATCTGCAGATTTTCCAATGCCCTCTTTCTGCAGCACAAGGGGTTCTCCAGCCTCAAGCTGTTGTAGCATGGCCAGTGTTGGTAGCATCTACATCCTGCAGTACACCGTGGCTAGCTATAACCACTGGCCAACAGCTCCCCTTTCTGTGTAGCAGAATACCTCTGGTGAGACATATCTCCATGAACAGCTTTCTCACAAGTCCTACAGGACCACATTCTAGCAATTCTGGATAGTATGTTCTTCTACAACAATGCTGCGGCAGTCCCTCCGACACTTAGTAAGGTGTTATTATGCTTTCTCCAACAAGATCTGGACCACACCTCTCTGGATTTCCTCTTTGGACATTCTGTCTTGGTCCTGGGGTAGTGGCTTTTCCTTATATCTGCTATTCTTATAATCTTTAGAATTCAATCTACCTCTTAATGGCCAGTCCTTCATCACTCTAATTTCCTGTTATATTTAATACTGTAATTACTTTTATTAAACTTTTTCCTTTCAACTTACTATGTATTTCAGTAGCAAAAATACACCTCACACCAAGAGCTTGGGTTCTAAATATCATTCTCCAAAAAAGGAACCAGGGCTCCCTGGAGAAAAGGGCCATTCAAGGGCTAAAGCAAGAAGAAATCCAAGATGAGTATCTTATAGTACCAGAAAATAAGGAAGTACCCAAGATCAAAACGATGAAACACCACAAAAGGACAGAATATCCAAAACTAGAACAATTTGGGCAACAAAATAAATAATGTAATATTGTCATATAACTCAAAATATCAAATAAGTATTTATGATTTAAAATGATACAAATTATTGGATAAATGAGGAAGAAGAAACAAATTTTTTTTTACAGAATGATTCCAAATAATACAGGTAAATACTCCTTCCTCAAACATACAGATTTTAATGGCTGCCCTTCACCCCTGAGGGTAGGCTAGACTTAGGGACTTGCTTCTGTAGATAATGTAGGGAAAGAAAAAAATAGTAACATCACATGGAGAAACCTGGCAAACACTACTTTAAGCAAGTGATGACACCATGTATGATGTCATGTGAAAATCTTGATATGATGCAATGAGCAAGGCACTTAGCTGGGAAGTCATCCTGTCACAACAAACACCCAGACACACACATCCTTGGACATTCTACAGGATACCTGGCCAATGCACTTCTGGAAAAACAAGGAAAGACAGAAATTGCCACAGAAAGAGGAGACTGGGAAGACATGACAAAAGAATGTAGTATGGTGCCCTGGATTAAACACTAGAACATAAGAAGGGCATTACTGGAAAAACTGGTGAAATGTAAGTATCATCTGGAATTTTTAATATTAATGTGCAAATCTCAGTTTCTTAATTTTGACAAACTAGGTAAATTAGGAAACAGGAAATTAGGTGTGAATGTATGGGAACTTTGTACTATCTTTGCAACTTTCTGTAAATCTCAAATTGTTCCAAAATGAAAACTATGCTAAAAAAGTTTCTGTAGTTTTTGTCTCCTGGTTGTGCCTCCAATGATACAAAAAGCCAGAGTAATTATCAAAACAATCATTTTATAGATCTAACATACTGTACCAAATTTATGTATAGCATTAACCAGAGAACAGAGGAAATAGAATCTTTATAAAGTAAGTTGTTTTAACATTGCCACATACTAGATTACTGTAATGGCACACATTTTGTTTGCAGAATCATCTGGCTAAGCATACACAAATTCATTAATTTTCTAGTTAGGGTAACTGCCACAGACAAAACCCAGGAAGAAAAACCCAGTGTGTGGTTCAGCTCAGAACAGCACTTTCTTTTGTGCTTAAAAAGATATCAGAAATGGTTTCCTCTGAACATCTCTAAAGAATTAAGACATCAGTTCATGCTTATTTATGCTCTGTCCATTATAAAACTGAATTATAGAGAATATCCTTACAGTTGCCTAATTATCATTTTCCAGCATTAAAGCAATATATATTCTCATAATTCTAGAGTCTATGTTCAAAAGTCTATAAACTCTAAAATAAAGTAATAGTTTACTTCCTAGAAGGTCCAAATCAGCTCTAGAGAGACTAAAACACATGTAGGCTTTTGTTTTGCACACACTCTCCTGTCTGACCTTTTAGCTTGAAGTAGGCTGTAGTTTTTAGAAAACAATGTATGAATAAAATTGAAATTCCAGTGTTCTTGCCCCAAATTAGTAACAAACCTTATTTTTTCAAATGAAGAATATATCCACTTTTCCTTTTCCCACTACTTTATAATAATGTTATTTTTCTTCAAAATATCTAGGCAAAACTGATTTTTAAGCTGGAAAAGTTAATGAAAGCAGTTGGTCAGAAGAGGGACCCCAGCCAAATCCCATATCCCAGCCATTCTGCCTCAATGGCATGGGAACAGAATGTCCAATCTCTGCCTGCTTTCCAACAGGAGCAAAACAAACCCTGCAGGACAGTTATCCACTGGAATTTAGAAGCCTTTCAGGAGCGCACACACACACACACACACACACACACACACACACACACACACACCCTACCCTACCTAAGGTACAATAAAGAGGCCTTTCAGACAAAGTGTTCTGTACAGACAGCACAAGAGCTTCCTCCTGAGATGCTCAGGGAGAGAGCCAAGAGATCACAAGTTCAAAACAAGTAGTCTTCACAAGGTCAAGAGTAATCTTCCCAGGTCCAAAGTAGGCAAGTAAAAGTCTTAAAACCAGTTTATCTTGACAGCTTAACATACTTTCAGACTAGTCTCAGAACATTATTTGGTAGAAATGAAGTCAAATTTGTGCTGTCATGGGAACCTGCTAATTTTTTAAAACTATTATAAAGTAACATTTTGCGCACTACATTTTGCTGCATTTCCATTTTCTCTCACATTTTTCAAGGCAACAAAAAAGGAAGAAGTAGATACAATTATGCATGCAGCAATTAGTTAAAAAGATGACTTAAATTTTAACACTGAAATTTAGGAAAGTAACTGTACTTCATGACATTCCAACATTTAATCTTTATGATAATGGATACAGGATTAAAGGTACAGTCTTTTATAGTCAAAATATCATCATCTTAGAATTCTAATTCTAGAATAATGAAGACAAATTATATGCTACATTATGGTTTCATTTAACAAGTATCAAAATGTTTGTGAATTTTCATTTATAATGTATCTCCCCAATGTTATCTGAGGACATATGCACTCTTTCCTTCTCAGAATATAGAGACAAATGATACGTTAATACCAAAAAAATACCTATTTTGCTTCTGAGTTAAAATCAACAGGTGGCAAATTTTCATCACCAACAAAATATGGTAGATTAACCAAGTTAAAAGCTGAAGTTAGAATACAACCAAAACTGACTTCTATAAGTAAGGAATCTAAATTCTGGACCCTACTCTAGAAAATGGCACTCATATTCACAGAAGTATGAGTAGCAAATTAATGAAATCTCCATCTTTCCAAGTATTTTTTTAATTCTGTATGTAATACATGTACAGATTAGTTCTGTATGTAATACATGTGCAGATTTAAAAGGAACTGTGTGGATGGGTTGGATGTGGAATCCAGACCATGCTTTGCTTGGGGTGAAGAGGTGAACTGTGGCTCAGGATAATGGGCAGACAAGGTCTATGCAGCACAAACATCCCAAGACAGACAACAGCAGGTGGACACTTACCACTGGAGCAGTTGGTCCCACCCCAGCCAGGCTCACACTGACAGGTGTTTGGAGCGATGCAGCGACCATGGACACATTTATCAGCACAGTGAGCTGTCAGGGAGAAAATCAATCAAGTAAAGAAAGTTGGCACAAGAAAAAAAAATCAACAACACAGCTGTTGCACATCCTAGGCTCAAGTATCACTTAAAAACAACATGCATGGTTGATAATTTTCTTCAATCCACTTCTCAGCCCTCTTACAGTCTGTTGTATAACCAAACAATTCCCTCTCTTATTTTGATATCTCCAAATAAATTCCTCCAGTTCTACTGTTTAATTCTATGACATGCTAAATTAGGAGAAATTTAGGCAAGGAAAATTGCCTAAATTCACTTTTTAAAAAATTATCAATTGGGCCGGGGATTCAGCTCAGTGGTTCCTTCTCTTGCTTTACAAGCGCAAGGACCTGAGTTCGATCCCTGGTACCAAAAAAAAAATAAAAAAATTATCAATGAATATCAATATGTTTTCTTTTTCTTTTCTTTTCCTTTCTTTTCTTTTCTTTTTTTTTTTGAGAGGAGACTATGCAATGAAACAAAGCACAAAGCAACATATTGGGACTCCAGAATGACAAAGTGGACTGAGGGATAATTCCCTTTATTCCCTTTACAGTCACCAGAAAAAATAGTCACCTTTCTATGTGAACACACTATTCATAACTACGACACAGAAGAATTGCATACCCTTTTTTGTTTAAGGGAATATTTGAAAAATGTCACCCAGATCTCTGGGAAATACTGAATCTCAATCCTCTTTCACTAGTGACTATCTCAGGTGTGAACCAATGTGTGGAGGAAAGGAAGCATCACTGGACACGAGCGGACAGACATCTGAGGACTGGCTCCCAGAGCAGAGTTCAGCTGGCTGACGAAAAAGGGCACCAAAAATACACCGTGCTAAACATTAGGAAGGTCTTCCACACTAGTGCCTCTCACATTGGTTACACACCCTTTAAAATACTTGGGTATTTCAGTACTGTAACTGTAAGAGCAACTTGCAAGAATTCAGATAGAGTCAAACAGTTAAAAATTTTACTTAAGGAGAGGTAAGGTACCCTGTACTTTAGACCTATTTTATAATTAACTTATTATTACAAAAGCAAAATAGGTTTACTTCCCCAACATATAAAATATCCATAAGTTAAATGAATCTTATCTTTAGTTCTACCAACTAGTAACGTTCTTGTGGATGTTGAACCTTTCAGAGTTTTCTCCTATATATTTTTCTCTTAAAAAAGAATAATCATAATTTTCAAATTGCTTTTCTGCTTCATTAAGCAGAAAAAATATTTCCATGTCATCGAATATTTCCTAATACATTTTACCCATAATCGTATGTACAGTGTACACACTTAGTATATATCTACTTCTATATGTATGATATTAAAATGATATTCACTTCTAAGATCTTGATCTTGAACATAAAGAGATACAAGGGAAAGGCATTTCAGATGAAGAAAAAGCAACTGGTAAAAAGGATAACAGAAAAGGGAAATAAATGAAAATGAGAAATTCTGTTTGGTTGTGACGTTTGGAGCAATAGGAAAGGTACAAAAAGACCTTGAAAAACGAGTTAAAATGTTACTGCTTTATCCTGAAAATTAGGTAGGAATAGTCTAATGAAAAATATAAATGTGCTACAAGAAGCCATCAGGTTGAGGACACCACAGAAAAATAAAATGACTGTAAATTACAGGAAATACGAGTTTACTTGCTGTCACCTGAATAATTCTTCAGCACCCCAGTAATTTGGTGAAGGACCCTGGAAAGTTTGGAATTGTGCTCAAAATAACGAGTTCTAAGGAAATACTTGGTGTCCTTGTTATATTTGATTCAGACAATTATAAATTTGATTGTAATTTAAAGCAGAACCTGCTTATAACACATGAACACATGGTCCCTACAATATGCTGACTTAACCTGCAAAGTCCTTACACGTCCACCTCAAGGTTCAATGCCTTCCATCACTGCACGTATATTTCAATTTGTAGATGGCATTCATTTGTAAGGCCATAGCTCTCTGTTGTATCTTTAAAATTTAGGTATGCACACATGTAAAGCCACCAAACTACCAAACTATTTGTGCAAGGCCCAGAGAAATGTCACACAGTCACAGTTGGGGTTTAACAGTGCAGGACTGCCCCAGACACCGTATTACACTGTGTCACATGACAACATGTGCATGAGGGACTCTCACCTCAGAGAGTGACCAGCCCACTTAAACCTGTCAGCACTAGAGGGCTTTATCTCACTTGTCTCATGTACTGATGGCATCTAAGTGTGAAATATAGTTAGTGATCACTTTAGCAATTTCTCCTCCTTCCAGGTACTGAGTTGTTTAAAATTCTGTTTGCAAATCTTTAGAAGTTTTAGAAATTAGATACTGTGTATCTTTAATGTAAAACAAGACTGCTTTAATAGTGTGCATTTAAATCAAAACAGAAATTGGAAGTGGTGGATAATGAAAGAAGAGCCATCCATAGCTTCAAATTTCAAATTTTTGTGTGTATTTAACAATGTAGCTCTCACCAATTAATTTCATTATAAGGAAATATTATAAAGTTAATTTATTAAGGTAATTTTATATTAATAAATTTTTTCTTTATTTGTTTTTAAATCTTAGGAACCCATATAAGAGTCCATATGACAAAAGACTTAATTCTACTATTCGAGAATTTGAAAAGCTCTGGGTTCCTGAATAGCTGGACTTGATGGAAGCAACCTGGGTTTTGTGTCTGTCTGGGATGGGGCTGGCTGGGGAAGATGTTCAGAATACTCTCCAGAGAGGCCTCAAATTTCTGTTCTCCCTTTCTTCTCTTGCCTTTCATTTTGTCTTCATCTTTCTTTTCATTTTATAGTAGTCATCTTCTCTTTTTCTGCCACGAACTACTTCCTTGATATGCACAGTTACCAAAGAGACTTCAGATTAAAATTTTATTTTAGTTGGTTGTGTTACCTTTTAACCACAGGTGACCTCAAATGATTTCCACTAACCCACCTGAGTCAACTGGTAAGAAAGGTAAGACTGAACAAACAAGCATAGCACCTTTGCTCCACTAGAGATAATGTTTATTGAAACAGCTAAATAAATCCATAAGGTAAACATAGGTTCCAGAGGGTTAGGAATCAGAACTGCATATGCTTAGACCTCAATCTAGAGTTTTTTGTTGCTCTTCTGTTGCTAATTCTGGAAGAGGATAATAATTTCTATCTGCAGAATTAAAGAAAACCTGCTTTAGAATGCTTTGAGATCATTGAATAATCATGCAAACGTTCTCATGTTTGGTTGCTGATAGTGCAAACTTTGCATTTTTATGAAAGGAATTTTGAGAAGTCCAGTCAATTACAACAAATGAAATAAATCCTGTGATTGTAATTTTTAAATCTGAATTAGATTTATAAAAATCTTGAGCTAACATCTGACCAAAGCCTGAAACTAAATGTGGATTGATTGATCATTAGCAGAAAATAGATTCATCTGAAAGCTAATTAGGAATTGAAAGAGGAATCTGTTTTCCTAATCATTTCTTTTTCCTTAAAGTTCAAGGCAATAGAATCATCTTTGAGCATTGAATTGTAAAGTCAAATGATGACCTAAATGATGAGAAATATCATTGGGTTGGACTTGCAAGTAAAGAACACAAAATTCTACTTCCTAGATGTGGGAGTTTCACACAGCTTTGGACTCTGTACTCCAGGTGCCATCTTTGCTCCATGCTATTTTCCACCATCTCTGGATTGTCTGTACCCTGCCATAGCCTTTACCCAGTACCCACACTGATGATCAGGTTCTAATAGAAGCAACAGAGAAGAATGGAGCAAGCTACAGCTCTCTTCATGTTCTCTGAGGTCCCAACTCACCATTCTGCAGAAACACCAACTATCACATGTGTGGTGTCACGAACCCTGTCTGGAAGATCAGCTGCACCAGATCCCCACTCAGCCTGGTCTTTCCTCCTTCACCTTTAGGTGCCACCAACTCTAGGTGCTAAGCTTCCATGACTAACAAACTCCAGGGGAAATCAAGGTGGGTTAAATATAGAAAATAGTCATATACAAAATGCCAAAGTGAGCTCGAAAAGAACACAGGAGCAGACATTCACCTTAGTATATGCTCAACAACTTAGATCTCAGAAGGTAGAAAGACCCTTTCTACATGTAGCTGTCCCGTCCGTGGGAGCAGAGAGTAGTTTTATTCCTTATCCACATCCTTTCTTCCAATTGTCTTTTTAAATAAAGACTATTGAAATTAATACTACCTCAGCAAAAATGGCTTATCCAATATTATTTGTTTTCCCACCTATCTTTAAGAAAATCATTAAATATTTTATTCTAAGTTCTCCATTTTTTGAGGCCAAATACAAGGTGAATCTTGACCCACAATTAATACTCTGCTGTAGACACATAAAGCTGCAAGGGGCAGCCAAGGCATCTTCTCCCTTAAGAAGTAGAAGGAAGAGCTGGGGATTTAGCTCAGTGGTTTCTCTGCCTGCTGTGCAAGTGCAAGGACCAGAGTTTGATCCCCAGTACCAGAAAAAAAAAAAAAAAAAAAAAAAAAAAAAAGCAGGAAGAAGAGACACTGATGAGAAGAACAGGCCATGTTTTTTGAAGTAAAAGCTGTGGACAGTCTGTCTGCCTGGTGGACAGGTGAGGACTGACACCATGACCCTGGAATCTTCTCTAATTAGGCTCCTGTTTCAGCCTTAGTTCCTAAATCCATTTAAATCCCATTACCAGTGACATGGGCTTCATTCCTTTCACTTGTAAATACTTGGCTTTATCACTGAGAGCCATTAACTACCAAATTGTTTTCTCTTCTGCCACATAGATTTCCCTTTGTACTTACACTTAAGATGGAAAAGAAGGTAAGAGGAAGAATAGGCACCCTAAATACTCCTTTGTAACCAAATTATAATCTCTAAAGATGATGCATACCTATGTCTTAAAGAATATGATATAATAAATTCATTTAAATTAATTTGGAAAATGTCTTTAGGGCCAAAGTATCTCTTGGAAATAACTGCCCAATGGAAACAAATTTCCAGCTAATCC